AAAGTTCTTCCTCGAGTTCGCACCTGAGCTTCCACCCAACAGAGCTCCCCTCTCCACAGCTCCACCAGAATAGCAAAACCAGCAACCAGGAAACACATGTCTGGGTTTAAAATACAAACTACTTCTCAGTTCAGTGGTCTTCATCATCATCCCACTGCATTGTTACCTCCTATGGGTATAACAAATGAAAACTACAAGGTATACTTATGAAGCCCATTGTAAGCTACACAGCAATCTCAGTCATTACTAGCTATGCCCAAAAACCGATGACAACGGCTGAAATCATGTGCAAGATAATAAACAGAAAGAGAACAAAGCGGTGAGGCAGGTGTCCGTCCCACAAGAACTCCATACAAAGCCCGGCATATTTTTCTGTCATTCACTGTGGGGCTGAAGCTCTGTGTGGAAACTAACAGGGAGATGATGTGTCCCTGGAGACAGCCATGGTTTGGGAGCGAGGCATTTCTTAATCATCGGGGAACCAGTGCCATGCTATTTTTCTGTTGTTGCCAGCCCCCTTCTCTTTGTGCAGGAGGTCACCTGTCATACACTCTACTGAATTAGAGTGACTCATAAATACACAGGTCTAATTTAAATGTGACGAATGTTGCTGTGCGACAGCACACATGAAAACATTTGTCGCTGTGTTGCACAATGCCTCAAGGAAAGACTTGGCTGCAAATGTTTGGTTTGCACCAATAAACAAATGAGGGGCATTCATGCTTTTTTTTTTTTTACCCTGTTCGACGGCAGTAGATGAGGAAGGAAAAAAAACTCGAGAGGTAGTGATAAAGCATCCAATCATATACATTTTTAGTTTTAGCAATTTGGAGGCACACACAGTGGAGTGACGTTCTTGCTTTGCATTAACAATATCCTCGATTCAAAACCTGACTGGGTTCTCTCTGTTTGGACCTTGAGCAAAAGAAGAACCAGGCTTCATTGACACTTTGAGTACTCCAGCTTACTTCAACCATCCAAAAACATGTATACTCTGTCTATTGGCTAACTAGATATGAGAGTTAAACTATAAACTAGTCTGTGTCCATGTATATCTATTCTTTCATTTTCTTTCTCTGAACAGATATATATTCCAGAGATGACAGGACATCCTGTCACCTCTCAACAGCGATTCTGTCTATCTGATTCTGAGGAATCTCAAGGTTTTCCTAGACCAGAGGGGCTTTGTCTCTGGTGTGTCCTGCTGCTGCCTTCAAATGACCAGAAGCCATGAATCATACCCAAGACAGCCACATTGAGAACTAAGCACCATATGCAGATGACGTAGTCATCAACGTAGCTGATCCACACGGCCCTGCATTAATTAGGTTTTTACAAACTATGGTCTAAATCTAACTTACTGAAGCTTGTTGCCATTTGATGCCTGAATCTTTATTCTTATCAAATTATGCCAAAGTGATTCCTCTTTTTGCCCTTAACATATTTTCCATAAACCTGCTGTTCAGTCCAGATTGACAGATGGAATTTTTGTTCAGTGTTCTCTTCTGCCTTTTTGATCTGCATTGGGGCTGTGCCAAGTGTACACTATTTCGACCGGAGAAAAAAAAAGCAGCCAGAGGGATGGACATTTGTTTCCAGTTTATTAAGAGGTTTCAGGCTGCAGAGAGACTGGTGATGCAAGAACTGTCTGATTCCCATGTAGATGTTAAAGAATACACAGGGGTTGCTTTCAAACAGTTTCTAGACTACACCAATAGGGATTGTATGCACAATGTGAATGACAGTTGCATTATATATGTTTTGTTTTTGTGACTAGATATCTGAACTTATCCAGACATTGTTGGAGTCATTACTGAAAATAAATGTTTTTATTATTATTATTATTATTATTATTATTATTATTATTATTATTATTATTATTATTATTATTATTATTATTATTATTTTAGTACAATCCTTCCATTTTATGTACCTCCTGACTGACGTTAAAGAGACGCCGGGGAGGCCAGAGCGGAGCCCATTCCAGAAGTCAACGGGACAGGTTATAGCACTGATGTAGGGACAGATGAGACAAATAGTCATCTAGGCAGATATTATCTCCTAACAGCAATTTAGTGAGATAAATTACCCAGAATGCATGGAGGAGTAGATGGGAGTAGCTGGGGGGAAAATGTTCGGCCAGATGTTGAAAAAGCCATAGAAAAATATCTGTGCAGCAGTTAAACTGGGTGTTTTCTACCTGTATGGCAACAGTGCTAACCACTTAACTTTCAGAGCAACACACCATTGGTATCATTTAGACTGAAATTTATTCATTCTATGAAACAATTTATCTTAAAAACCTCTCAGGTCCAGACATGTCACTTTTGCCCACTAAAAGATGTGAACATTGTTGGAAGGGTGGTGTCTGTCTCCACCTCTTCAGTGAAGCTCACCTTTACTGACTAAATATATGTAATAGTAATAGGTTTCTTGAGAGAGCATTGATTCGTACAAGAGGCATAGTAAAAAAAATATTGGGTTGGGAGATGACGATGGCATTCAAAGTTTTGGATAAAAATGAAATTCTTCTAAGCACTTCAGTTGGTGAGAGATTAAATTAACAATGCATCAACCAACAAATGGTAATATAATATTTAAGACCACCATTTTTTAGCAGAATTGGTATTGATTTTCAATTGCTGAGTGGATTTATAGGAGGATCTCAACTGACTGGTTTAGGGTTTTGCAGCTTAGGAAGTCTTAGACACCAGTTAATCCATCTGTTGTCTCACTACTAATCCCAGATGCCTGTCTCACTTAGCAGGGAGACTCTTGGTCAGTGACTGAATGTCTTCATTATCAGACTACATGTGTTTACCTAAAACAAACACTAAAAGGTCTGTCACCAGGAAGTGTGTAATATTCAACATCTGTCGCCAAATTTAATAAGCTTTGACTTTTAAACAAAAAGCATGCTTTGTAAAACTGTTCAGGCCCAGTTGTTGTGATTCAACTTACTTGACAGCAAGGTTGCTAAAAATGTACATATATTTTACCAACTGGACAATTCACAAATATCAGGAGCCCTTGTAAACATTTGTTAAATAGACAATGTGAGTAATTAAACTTCTGTTGGTCTGGTCTTCCAAACAACCTCCATTCATACACACACATCTTCATTAAATATTTTGGGGGCCTCTGTGTTGTCATTGGACACGTCAACAGGATAATAATCCAAAACAATGCTTTTCATCTTAAATGGTTCTTTATTAATTAGATGTATACACTGCAATCTACTTTGATACACAGAAATTATGACATTTTAGTAAACAATGTCAGACTCCAAAATGATCTTTCTTACATGGTCAGAACAGCTTCATTCATGCCTGAGCTGTCAATGTGCAAGTTAACTCTGCTTAAAAACAAACCAACAGGCTCTATTTGGATGTTTACACACAATATAATGTTTTTATACAGCGTATGTGTAAACATATATTGTATAAAAGTGTATTTTTACACAGAGACATTAAAGTGTATTTAATGTCAAAGAAGCTGACATTAAGGTAGCTTAGATTTTCGTCTTCTTTCAGTCTGTTAGGAATAACACAATGTTTATTCTGAAAATGCTAGAGCAATATAAGAAAGAAGTTTCATTATGACTACCTTCAAATTCAGTACCACATCTCTAGAATATAAACTGTATATAACTTGAGTCAAATATTTCCCTCCAAAAGCTTCACTCAATAATTTGCTACAACTTTTATTTCATCCCTTCTGACAGAAGTGGATGGGAATAATTTGGTGAAGTCTGCCTGACGTAACACAAAGACACTTGATTTGATGTAATGTCAAATGTAATTTCAGTTAGTGAGAAAAAAGTTGGTCTTTTTAAATCGGAGGTTTCTAGCAGATTTTGGGTGTATCGGAGTAAGAAATAGGTTTCCTCCGTCACAGGGACGAAAGTTGTTATTGATTTAAAATTCTTTCTTTTGCACAAGTAAACAAAATAAAATGATCTAGTAAAGGAATCTCACACAACAGTATGTACCTTCAACTTTGTGTTGTCTGAATATGTTTAGTAACCTTAAACTTTAATCTGAATATTTTGCCCCAAAGAGGAATTATGTCTGTGCTGATCTTTATCAGAGAAATATTCTGTTCCATGTTATTTCTATTTGTATCTTGTCTGTCAAATCAGCTTGTCATACTGAACCTCGTTTTGCTAGAAGTTATTTTCTCATAAAACAAAAATGTTCCTCTCCATTGTTGCCACAGGCTCATTTAGAAAGTATGAGTTGCTGCAAATTCAACGATTCAACGCAATCTGCTGTGCTACCTTCATAAGATATACTATCTCACCTGTTAACATCATGTGATTGATTGTGCTGTATTCAAATTATATTACTGTATGTAGCTGTATCTGAATGTAAATTCTATATAGTGTAAGAATGGAATCAATTACTTTGATTTTAGTAAAATCTAGATATGAATTGGAATCCTTTGTATTATACAATGCTGTCAGATGACATTTTTTTTGTAACTTGGTGCTGTATAATTACAATATAATTCAATGTAGTATTTAAAACGTTTGCACTGTGGTTCAGTGTTTAGCATTGGTGCCTGGGAATAACAGGGGTTTGAGTCTCATGTAATGGTACTACTGTATCTTGGTCCAGTCCAAAAATCTTCTTGATAAAAGCTGGCCTCTGTCTGATGACCCACGTATTACAATAATCACTGCTGTCAGGGTAGATGTGCACAATTTGCATTCTATAAAACTAAAATGGTTATAATGGAACAGATTGACAGTTTTGACCTGGAAACAAGTGTTTTAATTGCTAAATGAAAAGTGCAAATAACTTTTGATGAAGTTGACCTCCACAAGCCGGATCCAAAAGGATAAATGGAAACATTAACATATTGAAAGAAAGAAGTAAAAGCTAAAAACATTGCCAAGTTTGTCCAGTGACCTGAATCCATCAGGACACCTGGAGTATTTCAAAATGGAAGGTAGAGCAACAAAACCCCTCCAGCAAAGATAATATGGAAAGAATTACCTATGAAGAATGGTAGGACATCTCTCCACAGACTTGTACAGGACAGGCATCATCCATGCCCGTGAGGCTTGAATCTGTGAGCAAAAATAAATGCAGACATAGGGAAAAAGGGTCACCAGTGCAGTGGGGTATGGACTTTTTTTTCAGTGAAATTCTTCAAGCTGTATTCTTTCAGGAGGTTTCCATGTGGCGCAATAAATAAATGCAATGTTGGCATAAAAAAAAAGGTAACGCTTTATTTGAAGGGGGGTGAATAAGACTGTCATGACACTGTCATAAACATGACATAACACCTGTCATGAACATCAATTAGCCTTCATGAATATTTATGACTGTTGTCATAAATATTCATGAAGGCTTATTCATGTTCATGACAGGTGTTATGTCATGTTTATGAAAGTGTCATGCCAGTCTTATTCAACCCCCTTCAAATAAAGTGTTACCAAAAATAATCATATCTGTGTAATTCTCCTGTTTTAACAGACTTTTAAATATAGATGTGGTGCTCTAAACTGGCTGTGAGTAAATAGAGCAAATCAAACAAATGCAGTCTGGGTAAAATATTTTTTTGCTTTCCCATTATTATTATTAGTATTGGTATAAATTATAATTACTATAAAAACCATAAATGAAATAGTTTGGATAGTTTTAGTATCTATCTCTGAAGAAATGTTAGGAAAGACACACTGCCTAACTTATGTAATGCATCAAATAGGAGAGAGAAATTGTCAGTCTTATGAGGGAGAGGCATTTCAATTTCCCAAAAACAGTCATCTTTTCCTCTTAAGAAATCATAAATCCACTTCTCTTTATATGTTACTTTATTTTAGCACACTAAGCAATAGCTAAAAAATGACAAATGATGAAACAAAAAGAAAATAAATAAAAATTATTCTAAACTAAATTATTCACTCTCCAATTTTGCATCATTTACATTTTCTTTTTTAACAAGTCATCAGTTACAATTTAAGAAAAACGACATTAACATTAACGATTGATTATAATGCCAAATAAGTGAGCACATTAATGTGTCTTGTTCTCATCTGTGTTTTATGGTCCTTGTTTGTTGCTGTTGGTGTTCTATATTAATTGTTTTATTGATTGTGGCACTTTGAGATTTTTGTAAATTTATAGTGTGTTATAAATCAAATTTGTTGTTATCGTTATTACACAGTAAAGAAAAATATATTGGCAGGCAAGAGTGCAAGGTTTTTCTTGCAGTTGGTCATAAGGTTTGCTCATATCCCAGGAGGGAAATCTGACCACTCATTTTTACAGAAACTAAATCATTAAGGTTTCTTGACACTTGGAGCTTCAGAAACTTCTTCACTAGTTCTGTGTGATTAAAGTCTGGAGACTGACTGAACCTGATCTTAATGGGAGTCTTCATTAGTTGCTCCTTTGTTGGTGGATCATAATCATAATGGAACCACTTTTTGTGTTCTGGTTAAGAAAAAATTTTTCACATGAAATATTTTTAAATTAGCAGAATACAAACAGCTTGAAACCACAATGTTGTTGCTCTGTGCTTAACCATAAGGTGGGTGTACTTGAGGTCAAATGCAATATTTATGCACCTCCACTGGCACATTATTTGATGCCAAAGAGTTCTATTTTGGTCTAATCGGGGGACAGAACTTTCCCCAAAGCTTTCTTTGTATTATCTACATATTGACTAGTAAATTTGGCCTGTATGTTTCACTATAAGCAGTAAGATATAATCAGCAACATTCTTAGGGATTGTAGTGAGATGAGCTCCAGCAACAGATAGCTATTACATATACTGTATCTCCTCATCTTCTAATAATCACTTTTGTTTCTTTTAGCTTACATAATCCACAGGAAATCATACAGTGGCATTCCCCTCAGTTAGGCAGTAACCAAACCTGACTAACCAAATCTGTAAACTCATTGCATGAAGCCAACTTTTGAGGGGTGACCATCTGGATCTAGATTTGGCAACTTTACAATCTTTTGATGCCCTAGCTGAAAGTTTAATTATAGAGGCAATTAAATGGAGCCCAGTGAGAGTCTCTGCTGTTCTGTTTCCCATTTGTTTTCTGTGCCTGTTTGTGTCTCTGCTGATTGTGCGGGCTTACTAAGCTGTGTCGGTGTTTCTAAATCACATTCTTGCTGTGTCATTTTACATTAACCGCAAAACCAGCTGTTACAAACATGTTATCCGAATTGCCAATGACATCACTGACATTGTCTGTTAAGTCCCAAATTGAACATAAGAGCCTAAACTGATATTATGTATGTGGTCAGGATGGTCACAGTACCTTTGATTATGCTGCCTTGGAGAAGGGATACTTATGTCTTCGCTCAATAGACTATAAAAGACATGAATATACCCTCTGTATTCAGAAGTGAAGTGAACATTGATGTGCATTACAGAGCATTGGTATTTACTTACCATAGGAGCTGGCAAAAAAAAAAAAAAAACATTAGTGGGAATCTGTATAACCAAATGAATCAAATGTAATAATTGCAATAGTTTTGACAGCAGTTGTTTCTGGTGTTATGCCAGGTCTCATTCAGAATGGTAAGACTGAAAAATGACTAATAAATAGATTATTAATAAATAGTCATCAAAGAAATAATCTCCACATTAAATAAAAAACAAAATAACTATATTATAATCACGGCATATGTACTATTATTATATTTAGCCTTACATGACTGTCTTATTTGTTTTGAGTTTAAATCATCTACTGACCAAATGTGAATGAACTTCTATGCCCTAGTAATACCTCAAAGTGGTGAAATTATTATAAGTCAGCTAATTCAGTTTGGGATATCTTCAGTTTTTATTTTTCAGCATTTCAAGGTGAAGCACCAGGAATGAGATTAAGTAGATGTTATATCTGACCATCAGGGTCACACTTGAGTCATAGTGGAACAGGCAATGGTACAAGTGGGGTCTCGAAAGCAAATGGCAGATATGTATAAGATTAACAAAGAAATCTCTAGCAGCCTTAGTAATGTGGTGACCAAACTGCATATGTTACAAAGTGAAATGCAATCAAGGGATTGTGGAGCATTATTTTCCGATAGCTTCAAACATCATTGAAGTAAAAGCCAGATACATGATAGTTTGATTTGGGTTTAATCATCTTCTCACCTATGGGCTGCACATGTAATTATAGGGACCTTATTAAGCGCAGATGTCAAGTCCGAAGACATTCTGATGAAGGCTCTTCACCTGCTTGCCAGTTAGGAAGGGACTTAAAGAACCTTAGCTGTTGAACAAACTTAATGAAGGAGCTTTGACCTCACAGATGTGACTATGCTGCAGATAACACTGGCTTATTCAGTAGTCACATGTGCAACTTAACTGATAATATTTGATCTGTAAAAGAGAGATTGCTTGGAAATTTAAACTGTTCAAGCAACAATTGTCACTATTGAAAGATGCAGTTGAATAATTAGTGAAATTGAAATTTTATCAGTTAATATGCCGCTTCTTCAGTTGAATTAATTTGAAGGTGGCACATTCTGTACGGGTAGAGCTGCCACCCAGTAAATAAAGGTTCTGAGTCATCATTTCAGCCATCTAGGGGTGGATTACCAAGATTTAGACCTTCACTAGATGTCTTCCTCTGTCTGCCCAATCTCTGATTAATGTGAATGAAGACCAAAAAAAAAACAAAAAACATTTTGTTTTTGAAAAGTTCTGAGGGAAAATCAATTGACTGCAGTAAATGTTAATTATGTTCCATTCATCTCAACAACCATTGTCTTATGTATTAGATTAAGCAGTTTGTTTCTGAGATTACTAATCTGCACATTAAGTTTTTTAGATGGTACTGATTGAGGCCAACTTGAGAAAATCCAGCATATTGTACAAACAGACTATACAGGACTGTAAGCTACATATTTATTACCTCAGCTGTTTTCTGCCATGCCCTAGACAGGTTTCTGTCAGTCACAGGGTCGATATAATAACAATAAGAAAAGCAACCATTTAAGCAAAACCTCAACCTTGGAACTACTTACAGCCTCCACTTAACCCAGCAAGAGAGTGTTTAGACCACAATATGAAACCAAGAACCTACAGTTGGATAGGAGGAAGATGTACACCCTTCAAATAATCGCCCTGTTCTGCATTGGAACTAAGGTCTTTATTTTATGACGGAACAGTGCTGAATTGCTGGTTTGTCATTTTAAACATTAAAATGAATTTTGGTAATTATGATTTGAGAATTTTTCATTTTAAAAATTCTCAAAACAGTTTTTGGCAAACTGAACCCAACACACCACAGTGCCTTCATTTCAGAGATCCTTCAGTTTCACTAAAGGAAGTAATTTCTGGCCATAGTAATAAACCTTTGGTTGAAATATATGGTTTGAATCTAATTTTAATTGGCAAACATTTATATTGAAAGAATTTTGTTGCCTTCTTAATAAAGTTCAATTTATTTTAATCTTCTTTTATGATCTACACCACTTAGTTTGATTCAAAGACTGGAAGACTGGAATGTCATCTTGCAAGAATAATGGTCAGCTAACCCACAGGCACATACACTTCCATCTAGTAGTAGCGTTTTGGTTTCCTCGGGGATGTGTAGGTGTAGTGATGGCAAACCCTGATGACATATTTTTCTACACAAAAAAAGAAAAAATAAAGAATCTGTTTAACTCAAGCATGGAAAATTTCATTTTGTTTTTGTTTTGTTTGTCCCTGACTCTTCCTGGCTCCCATAAATAATACTTGACATGAAAATAGCATTATTCCAGCAGCGCTACAGAGAGCTTATTAGTTGCAATCTAGGAAGTCATCGTCTATGGTCTAATACCAGTAGATGTAGGCCAACATTTACTGGCCCCTGAAGTCCCTAGTGGATAGAAAAGTAATGATGAATACCTTATCTTATATTTTTCCACATTTTATAAATTGGGTAATTCTGACAACAAAGCAAAAAACACAACAACAAAAACCCTATAATTGCCTACATGATTGATCAAATGGAATTGGGTAATAAACTAGAATCCTTCCAAACAAGTTTACCCACAGATTCTGAATATTCAAGTGTAAAAACCTTTTTACAGAGACAGATTTCTATGA